TCAGGAACTGGCCGGAACTTCTTCTTTTTTTTCTTTTTTTTTTGAGTTGGAGTCCCCAGAATGGAGTGCAGTGGCCGCTCCCGGCCACCGCAGCCTCGACCTGTCGGGCTCTGGCGATCCTTCCTCCTCAGCCTTCCATGTAGCTGGAACTACAGGCGTGTGCTACCACACCCGGCTAATTTTTGATTTATTGTACACTCTCGAACCCGCGGGCTCAGGCAATCCACTCACCTCAGCCTCCCAAAGGCGCGGGATTTCAGGCTGAGCCACCGTGCCCAGCTAGGCTGGAGCTTCTAAGGAAGCACATCATTAGGTAAACAAACCTGATGCCAGCGAGTGTCTGGTGGGAAAAGGAAGGAGAGAAACCTCTCCGGCTTGTCTTAAGGGGAGAGAGAGAGAATAAAAAAAGCCTCTGCAGGCCGGACACAGCAGTTCATGCCTGTACTCCCAACACTTTGGGAGGCCAAGGAGGGAGTATCGCTTGACACCAGCCCGGGGAACATAGGGAGACCTCGTCTCTACAAAAATAAAAATTAAAAAAATTAACTGGGTGTGGTAGCACATGTTATGATCTCAACTGCTCACAAGGCTGAGACAGGAGAATCCTTTGAGCCCAGAAGATTGAGGCTGCAGTGAGCAATGATTGTGCCACTGCGCTCCAGCCTGGGTGACAGAGTGAGGCCCTGACTCAAAAACCAAAAAAGAAAAAACCCTTTACGATGCATTTTCAAATCAGGTTCTCTTTTTGTGTGTGCGTGTGTTGGAGTCTCACTCCGTCGCCCAGACCGGAGTGCAGTGGCATGCTCCCGGCCACCGCCGCCTTGACCTACTAGACTCCAGCGATCCTTCCGCCTCAGCCTTCCAAGTAGCTGGAACTACAAGCACGCGACCACGCTCGGCTAATTTTTTTTTATTTATTGTAGAGATGAGGTCTTGCCAAGTTGCCCAGGTGGGTCTCAAACCCACGGGTTCAGGCAATCCACTCACCTCGGCCTCCCAAAGCGCTGAGATTACAGGCTGAGTCACTGAGCCCGACCTTCAAATCAGGTTCTCAATTGCAGAATTGGGCTCTGAGCCCTAGCCCTACACGCAGTGTGACTTTTTTTTTTTTTTTTTTTTTTTAGTTGAGTCACTTTGTCGCCTAGGTTGGAGTGCAGTGTCACGCTCACAGTCACTCCAGTGTCAACCTCCTGGGCTCAGGTGATCTTTCTGCCTCAGCATTCCAAGTAGCCAGAACTACAGGCTCGCTCTACCTTGCTCGGCTAATTTTTTTTTTTTTTTTTAGTTGGAGTTTCACTCTATGGCCCGGACTGGAGTGCAGTGGCCGCTCCCGGCCACCGCAGCCTCGACCTGCTGGACTCCGGCGATCCTTCCGCCTCAGCCTTCCAAGGAGCTGGAACTACAGGCGTGCGCTACCACGCTCGGCTGATTTTTTTATTTATTGTAGAGATGAGGTCTCGCTGCCCAGGTGGGTCTCGAACCCGAGGGCACTCACCTCAGCCTTCCAAAGGTGCGGGATTACAGGCTGAGCCACCGAGCCCGGCTACGGCTAATTTTTTGATTAGAGATGAGGTCTCACCAAGTTGCCCAGGCTGGTCTCGAGCACCTGAGCTCAGGCAATCCTTTGCCTCGGCCGCCCAAAGTGTTGGGATTACAGGTGCAGTCCGTGACTTTGAGCACCATATGCTCAGGGAAATAAATTGGCCACAAAAGCCCAAATCCTGAAGAATTCCACGCATATGCAGCCCTGAGAGCCACCAGAGTCCGGGAGATGGATGGCAAGGTGGAGACTGTTAGGGCAAGGGTGGTGAGTGCTCAGTGGACAGAATTAAGTCTGGGGAGATGGAACACCCCAGAGAAGGAGGGTGCTAATGGCTTCATCACGATATGACTGTACTTGATGCCACCGAACTGCACTTACAGATGGTTACAACGGTCTGTTTTAAATTATGTGTATTTAACTAATTAAGCTCAGGGATTTGAGACCAGCATGAACAACATGGCGAGACCTCATCTCTATAATAAATAAAAAAACAAACCGGGCTCGGTGGCTTAGCCTGTAATCCCGCGCATTTGGAAGGCTGAGGTGAGTGGATTGCCTGAGCCCGCGGGTTCGGGACCCGCCTGGGCAATGAGACCGCATCTCTACAATAAATCAAAAAATCAGCCGGGCGTGGTAGCGCATGCCTGTAATTCTGGCGACTTGGAAGGCTGAGGTGGAAGGATTGCCAGAGCACAGCAGGCCGAGGCTGCAGTGACCGGGAGCGGCCACTGCACTCCAATCTGGGCGACAGAGTGAGACTCCAACTCAAAACAAACAAACAAACAAACAAACAAACAAACAGGCAGTGACTCACCTTGTAATCCCAGAGCTTTGGGAGGCCGAGGTGAGTAGATTGCCTGAGCCCGTGGGTTCAAGACCTGCCTAGGCAACTTGGCAAGACCTCATCTCTACAATAAATAAAAAATTACCCGGGTGTGGTAGCCCGCGCCTGTAGTTTCTGCTAGTTAGAAGGCTGAGGTGGAAGAATCACCGGAGCCCAGCAGGGCGAGGCTGCGGTGGCTGGGATCATGCCACTGCACTCCAGTCGGGGCGACGGAGTGAGATCCAACTCAAAAAGATAAATAAATAAACAAACAAAAAAACAGGCCTTGGGCCTCCTGGGCCATATGGTCCCCCGATCTAGAAACTTCAAAGCTGAATTTGACCTCTGTTGACTACTGACTGAAAGCTCCAGGGCTGCTAAATCAACTATGTATTAATTAGCCAGTTTTGTTTTGTTTTGAGTCAGTCTCACTCTGTTGTCCAGGCTGGACTACCTGCTGGACTCAGACAATTCTCCTACCTCAGCCTCTCAAGTAGCTGGGACTACAGGTGTGCACCACTGTGCCCAGCTAATTTTTTAATTTATTGTAGAGACCAGATTTCACCATGTTGTCCAGGCTGGTCTCAAATTCCTGGGCTCAAGCAATCCTCTTGCCTCTGACTCCCAAAGTGCTGGGATGACAGGTGTGAGTCAGTTTTTGTCAGGCAGAGGAAAAATGGTTTCTCTCAGGTAGAAAATGATGCCGGGAGGGTAGGGTGCAAAGGCCATGGGTTCTTTGTCTCATCCCTAAGATCAATTTTAGAGCAGCAGCAAAATTTTTTTGTTGTTTAATTTTTTTTTTTTTTTTTTGAGTTGGAGTCTCACTTTCGCCAGGCTGGGGTGCAGGGGCACAATCATGTCACGGCCACCGCAGCCTTGATCTGCTGGGCTCAAGCAATCCTTCCAACTCAGCCTTTCTTTATTTTTTTTTTGAGTTAGAGTCTCACTCTGTCACCCAGACTGGAGTGCAGTGGCCGCTCCTGGCCACCGCAGCCTCGACCTGCTGGGCTCCGGCGATCCTTCCACCTCAGCCTTCCAAGTCGCCGGAATTACAGGCATGCGCTACCACAACCGGCTGATTTTTTTTTTTTTTTAAATTGTAGAGATGAGATCTCGCTGCCCAGGCGGGTCTCGAACCCGCGGTCTCAGGTAATCCACTCACCTCAGCCTCCCGAAGGCGCAGGATTACAGACTGAGCCGCTGAGCCCGGTTTACGCCAGGCTAATTTTTTAAAAAATTTATTTATTGTAGAGAAGAGGTCTCTCCAAGTTGTCCTGGCTGGTCTCAAACACACAGGCTCAGGCTATCCACTTGCCTTGGCCTTCCAAAATGCCGGGATTACAGGCTGAGCCACCGAGCCCAGCCCCACATCAGCCTTCCAAGTAGCTGGAACTACAGGCACATGCCACCACACCTGGCTAATTTTTTGATTTATTGTAGAGATGAGCTCCCACCAAGCTGCCCAGGCTGGTCTTGTATCCGCGGGCTCCCAAAGTGCTGGGATTATAGGTTCGAGCCACCACGCCCAGCCTCAATTTTTTTTTTAAAGAAGTGGAATATACTTTAGGATTAGGTATGGGTACACAAGTGGTCATCATACAGGTAGAGTTTGGGTGTCCCTTTTGTCCACACTTTGCTGGGTTTGAGGTCAGTTACCCTCATTGATGTTACATGTCCCTCCCCTCTCCCCCGGCAGTATCCAACTACAGCCAATCCCTTTCTTTTTTTTTTTTTTTTATTTGGAGTCTCACTCTTGCCCAGACTGGAGTGCAGTGGCCGCTCCCGGCCACAGCAGCCTCAACCTGCCAGGCTCCGGTGATCCTTCCACCTCAGCCTTCCAAGTAGCTGGAACTACAGGCGTGCGCTACCATGCCCAACTGATTTTTTGATTTATTGTAGAGATGAGGTCTCGCCAAGTTGCCCAGGCAGGTCTCGAACCCGCGGACTCAGGCCATCCACTCACCTCAGCCTCCCAAAGGCGCGGGATTACAGGCTGAGCCACCGAGCCCGGCTCAACCAATCCCTTTCTTATAGTATTATGACAAATGTTCAGGCTCCCCTTGCGAGTGAGAACATGTGGTACTGAGTTCTTTGTTTCAGTGATAGATCACTGAGTAGACTTTATCAGCGAGAAGGAAAACGGAAGATTCATGGCAGAAAGACCTGCCATGGGCGAGTATCTCAAAAAAGAAAAACCAAGCTCTTGCTGTCAACCACAAGCTAGATAGAGCCACCTGGTTGTTGATATGCTAATGAGTGGACCCCAGGTAACCCCTGCAGTCTCTCCTCTGAAGGGAGGAGGGTGGTCTTATGACCATTTGTGAAGTCCTGATCAGCTAAAGGGTGGGGTTGAGCCTTTACCTACACCTGGAGCCCAGCTGAAGAGCCCGGCTGAATAACATGTGTTTCTACCGAAATATTTTATTTTATTTTCCAGTCAGAACACAGGATGAATAATATGTGTTTCTGTCCTCTCTCCGGGGCCCAGCAGTTTTTCCACACGCAAATCCCACGCTGCCTTTTCCCCCTCCCTCTGTATCCTGGCTTTTTGCTGAGTATGTAGCTCTCCCGAGCAAGGCCCCCAGGCCAAAGCAGGCTGGGTCAGGCTTCCCCACCCATGGCCTCCACCCACAGCCTGGCTGGCAAGCTCTGGTGCTCCGGGCCCTGGCTGTCTGCCCCTGTGGCCTGGCTTACTCGCCTGCTCCCCACACCTTCCCCAGCTGCATCTTTGCCCTGTTGGTGTGGTTCTTGTCCCCCTCCCCTACCCCTGCTCCCAGCTCATAGGGCCTGCCTTCTGGGTGGTTGGCATCCAGCAAGCATTCACTGAAGGCAAGAGGATGAACGGGCGCCGGGCTCGGTGGCTCAGCCTGCAATCCCGCGCCTTTGGGAGGCTGAGGTGAGTG